TAGTCAACCTAGACTTTATGTATTTATTTTAATCATTTTATATATGAACTTGGTTGAAGATTAATACATGTTGAATATCTTTGTATCATTGTTCTTTTTATGGTTTGGTTCATTATTGAGAAGTAAGTTCAAAGCTTGAACTAAGATATTCATCTACTAATAAAAAAGCTCTAGACATAGATTTGTGAGTTAGTATTCACTTGTATCAAGCTTTAAAGGTTATCATGTTAATAGTTAGGTTGAGAGATCTTTGAATGATTAACATGATAACACTCACAATATTGCTTAGACATGAGAAATATTGAGAGGATACATGAATGTATCGTTCATTAATCAGTTCATGTGCATGATTAATCGAATATATTTGGAATAGGTTGATGAAAACTAATCTTGACGTGACTTTTATCAAAACAATCATTTTCAAACCAAAACCTCTCGTTTATCCAAATCACCATCTAGTGCATGAAACTTAATCTTTTGTTACTAAAAGCAAATACCAAAACTTTGTTTATGATTCAAACACTTAAAGTCACTAAAACTATAGAACTACATTAATATCACACCAATCCCTGAGGAAAAACGATAATATAAATACTTATGTTGAAAATACTTACAACAAAATGGCACAGTTTCCAGGGAACGACGTTTGACTATTGAAAGCATTGCAATAGTTTAAGTGTTTTAAGTTATTTTATATTAATAATATCTTTTGTTTTTCACTTGTTTTGTTAGTGTTTTCAGAACATATATACAAAACATAACACTAAAATGAAATGAAATATAAATATATACAAAATTTGTCCAGACAGCGTCGCCCGACGCTCAAAAATATCACCCGGCGACAACAAAAATTACACTCACATTAGTTTGCGTAACTTGAACATCCTGGAACGAATATCTACCTTCGCTCGGCGAGAGGAAGTCTCACCCAACGCTCTTATTCATCCTCTCCCGATGAACAACACGCAAGCCCAAGTCAGTGGCCACTGGATTTTTCTCTATTCATCTCGCCCCTACCTCGCCTCACACTCTACTCGCTCCTGCCTCGCCTCTGCTTCGCCCGTCACTCATGACAGAACAAAAATTATTTATTTCTTTTACATGGCTCTCTTTTTGTACCTTATTCCTTTCAAAAGGTGCATCTTGGAAGCCTTTATTACTCAATTCTCAAATACCTACAAAATGAATGGAAAACTATCAAATGATACAATATCTACACAAAAACTTGATAATACACAAACTAAACGTATTTACGTTGGGATTTATTCAACGAATATTAACAAAAGAATCGATAAGTGCCACAAAACTTATATACAAAAATAACTACAAAGTGGCCCTTACCAGTCGATAGAAACATATAGATGGTGGAGGATACATCAGTTGGATGTAAAATCAACATTTTTTAATAGACCTTTAAAAGAAGAAGTCTATGTCAGTCAACCACCAGGATTCAAAATTAAAGGGCATGATTCGAAGGTGTATAAATTGAGGAAGGCGCTATATTGATTGAAACAAGCCCCGAAGGCTTGGAACAAGAGAATATATAGCTTCTTAATCGAAGTAGGTTTCACAAAGTGTGTCTCTGAAACATGCCCTAAATACTTGGAACAAGAGAATATATAGATTCTTAATGGAAGTAGGTTTCACAAAGTGTGTCTCTAAACATGGAGTATATGTCAATAATGCTGGCATGGCCAGTCAAATCATTTTATGCCTGTATGTCAATGATTTGCTAATTACATGTGCAAATGAAGCTGAGATAAGAAAAGTCAAGTCGAAGTTGATGCAAGAGTTTGAGATGTTCGACCTAGGAAATTTGTCATATTTCTTAGGGATGGAGTTCAAATACACAAGTGAAAAAGTGTTCTTGTACCAGAAGAAGTATGTCCAAGATATCTTAAAGAGGTTCAAGATGAGCAACTGCAATGCAACTTCCACGCTATTAGAAACTAGAGCAAAGTTGAGGAAGGAGACAAATGGTAAGTTTGTAAGTGTGATACAAACTAATCGTTGGATCCTTGAGGTATCTTTGTAATACCAGGCCAGATATCTGTCAAAGTGTCGAATTATTGAGCATATTCAAGGAGAAACTCCAAGAATGTCATCTCGTTGTAGTCAAGAGACTGTTGAGACACATTAGAGGTACTATTGATCATGGTGTGTTGATGACAAGACAAAAGATGACCAACACAAATGCAGAAGTATATGGCTACACTGATTCTAACTTCAGTGGAGATCAAGATGAAAACAAGAGTATTGTATGCTATATATTCATGATCGAAGATGCTCCAATCTCTTAGAGCTCAAGGAAGCAAAGCATTATGGCATTGTCATCATGTGAAGCTGACTACGTAGTTGCATCGTATGCAGCGTGTCAAGCAACATGAGTAGAGATATTGCTCGAAGAGCTCAAGATTATGGAACCTAAGAAGATAAAGTTGTTTGTCGATAACAAGTCAGCTATTGACCTGGCGAATCATTCAATGTGTCATGGTCGAAGTAAACACATAGAGATGAAATTTCTAAGGGATTAAGTTAATAAAGGGAAGCTTGAACTTGAGTATTGCAAGATAGAATGAAAACTAGCTAATATACTCACCAAACCCCTGAAGAAAGTCAAGTTCGACGAGTTGAAGAGAAGCATCAGGATGACAAGTCTCGAGAAGATCAATTAGGGGGGTGTGTTAGAAGTTGTAATTTGATGTTCTGTCAAAAGCTAACATTTGAAGTGTGTCGAAGTAGTTAGTCGAGTTGTAAGAGTTAGTTGTATTCGACAAGGTCGAATACAATATTTAGATGTTGTGTCGAAGCCAAAACAGTATAACTTGTATATTTTGAACTTGGGTTGATTTGTATAGTTTTGGACATGGGTATTAGTTGCCTATATAAGGCATGTTGTTGTAACATAATTTATCAATAACAACTCCACTAAATAATAACAGTTTTCTCTTATTTCTCTTTCTCCTTTTCTATCTTCTTCTCTCATCTTTTTTGAAAATCCTTTTGTTCCAACACATGTACTGTATTCGTGGTACTTCAGTTTTTCTCATTATATGATTTCGAGTGAAATTTATGTTTTTTTAAAATATCAATATAGTATATTTATGTATTTTAATTTCTTCGTTAATGCTCTTAATATTATTTATATTTTTTTAAACTTTGATAGTAATGTTTTGATGTGAACCTGACAATTTAATACTTTACTAATACTTTTTATAAAAAACTGTTATATATTAGTAGCGTACCCGTACCTTGATTTTTTTTAAATGTTGTATCTTGTACCAGTACCGGTACCCGCACTGGATACTGTACCTATGCATCATAACTTTGGTTTATCTACGATATTGTGTACTAGAGTGATTGGAGAAGAAGGAAGAAAATTAAATCAATCAACATTTTGATTCAAAATGAAATTCTTTATCATGTTTTTATAAATCAAAAGCCAAATTTGGTATGATCTTAGAAGTAGTCTAAACCTCTAATTTTCTGATTTTTGACTCGTTCTCGTCCGATTTTCCGATTTAAATTTTGATTCTTTTGCATACCAATTTTCAGGTCTAAACATCTTGATTAAGTTTTCCAAACCAACCCGTTAAATCGGCCGGTCGAGTTTTGATTACCATGTTTGAGACACATTTTATTCAATAACCAATTTATTTTAGACAAATTCTTAGATACCAATAATAAGGAGTTATGTATCGGTACCTTCAGTGTAACTTATATTTGATGTGCATTTTCTTTAACATTTTTTTTTTTGATTTCATTGCAATTGAGAAACGGAACTTTTTCACTGACCTTATCAACTGAAACAAGTTATAGCAAATTTTCAATTTTGACAACAACTTTACAGAATATATATATGTGAACAAAATCTAACCAACTTAACCCTATTTAATGCTATGCAGATTGAACTACAGATGAAAAATTTACCATAAGAAAGAATAAAGAGAATTTAAGATAAGGAGCATCTGGGATTAACTGTTTAGTAAACAGACATATAAGAAAACAAGTTGCATACACATATTACATACAAATAAGACAGAAACTAAATCAAAAGCAAATAAAATTTAAGAGCTTCTCAATACATACTTATTTTAAGCTCTTTTAACAGGATCAAAGTTGGAAACTCCAATAACAGCTCCAAAAATAGCTGTTAGCACAGCTCCACCAGCAAAAATGCTTAGCAGAAAGTTCTGGAGAGAAGGTGAGAGATCAGATCCAGCTGCATAAGCCACATCAGGTATAACCATGGAAGCTGTCAAGGATGCAGCTGTAAGTGCTGTCACTGCCTTCTCTTTCAAAGATGCGTTGATTACAACCTTAGATTTTGACTGTGTGGTTCTCTTAGGTTGTGTTAATGGTAGTGGCCTGAAAAGGGATTCGGAGGATGGATTTTTCAGCTTGTTTTGGGTTGAAGAACAAAGTGGTAGAGCTGTTGCAACAGATGCAGAAGCCATTTTTTTGGTCTTGTTTGTGTTGCTTGTGATGTTCTCTGCTGAAAAGTTTTGTGGTTTGATACTCTGATAAGGTAATGGTTTCACATAAATTTTGATAGGTGGAAATTGGAGATTTTCAGATGAGGTGGCAGATGTTGGTTATCCTACGTGGAACATTCTCCACCTGATATTTGGAAGATAAGGTCATCATCTCATAAGGTTACACTTGCCATAATCTTATACATTTACATGGTCGATACATTGGTGGTCGTTAGATCAAGATCGGACACATTAGAAAGCGATAGAGAAAAAGGAACAAGAAAATCTTCATACAACAAAGATCACAAGTAATGTTGAACCTTATGACAAAACTTTACATTGGTTCGACTTCAAGGTTTATACATAAGACTCAAAAGACAAAGAGTCTTTAATACATTATTTGATAATCATATACAAAACTTTTGATATTATTGTCTATTAAGGCCTTTACTTTCACTATACGCAGAACCAAAAGAAACACACACATGAAATTGCACAGCAATGACTAAGAAACATCATGGGAGATTAACTGGTATCATGTTCTATCTGTCTGATATGAACACCTTGATGAAGAAGGTTGTATCTGATATTGAGCTCTTCAAATATCTTCTTTACTTCCATCACTAGTTCACTAGTCCTTTTGCATTTCTCCCCAAAGTCTTGAAAATTCATTGTGTGATTAACATAAAGACCCATCTTAATCTTATTTACATTTTCAATCTCCTTCACAACCAAGCTAAAATATGGATGCCAGTATTGTGGATTCCTCTCCAAATACCTCTTTACTTTTTCTTTCAGTGCTCCAATTTTCTCTGCTGGTGTCGTAAAATCAACCGAAAACTCAACACCTTCAGACATATTCGGGCTTCTGTAATAATTGCTAATCGGTTTCATGGCCAGCACCGAATTTGGATAATACACTTTTTCATTATTAAGCTTCAAGAATACTGTTGTCAATATATTCATTTCTTCAACCATTAGCTGCCAGAAATTCGAAAGCATTATAAATATGTGAATCTTAATACAATTAAAATTTAATATGGCTGCTATAAGTTACCTCGACACCATCTATAACACATCTATCGCCAACGTCAAATGGATGCATTACAAACACGAAGATGATGGATTCGAATATATTCTTGCATGTGTTTCCAAACATGAAAGCTGCAAGTACTAGCTGCGATGAGAGGAATACAAGGACTTTTGTTGTTGCAATCTCCATTAGAAGAAGCCACACTACTACGGTCACCACTACTAGGAACACTGTCACAAGCTTGTTTAATTGTTTAACCGCTGTTTTAGTGTCGCTTAAGGCGTGCGCGAGTGCTCTGCGTTCTTGATATACCTTCAACTGAAAAATAAAAACATCATAGTCCAAACAGAATTTTAATCCTTTACTATGATGACAATAAATTTTTAGCAAACATATAAAATCTTACCACCCAATCTGCTAAAGACTTTCTTGTAATTAGCCCCGTCTCTGCATCAGCCAGTAGGGGAAATACCAAAAGAACTTCTTCCTTAATCATGAAGCGACGGAGTTCATCCTCGTCAATGTCCCTATTCATAATGAGAGCACTTTTAGCATCAACAAAAATGGAAAATAGCAAAATAAGGAGAAGGGAACATACATTTAGGCCATGTTTGGATAAACAACTTAATTAACTGTGGCAGAAACATTTATCATATAAGTGCTTATGTATAGCTATCTCTATAACATAATATAAAATAAACTAAAATTGTTTTCATTTAACTAATAATGAATGCATACTATATTCTTATTCTTACTTGCAACAAGGGGAAGCAGCAACATTCTTGAAAACATAATAGGCAGCAGCAGTTGCTTCCATCTCATTAGTAATTTCTTTACCAGTTTGTTCATTTTTTACATCATAAAAACTTTCATCCAGTGAATTAGAGATTGTGGACAGCCTTGAATTCATCACTGCATCTACCAAAATCTTCATAGTCCATGCGGAAACTTTATCCTGCTTCATCTTGTGAAGTTTTGCCATATCGATAACCTCTTTCTTTGTGCCATCTTTACCGGTTGTACTCGTGAAACTAAAACGACCAAAACTTTGACATCCGCCGATTTTCTCACCCTCTTCCATAAGTGGAGGCCCGGAGAGAGTTTGCAGAACATATTGATGGAAGATCGATTCTTGAATTCGATCAAAGAAAGATTTCACATGGAAATTTGATGCCAAAATCTTTAGCAACAATGTCTTTATAACCCACAGAAATGCTCCAATGAGAAGGGAAACAAGAGTCCATGTTACATCATTCATAATCTTTGCGGCCAATTTAGATCGCTGAACCCCGCGATGGATTACAAGCGTCCATGTGAGAAGAACCAAACTAATCCAAATGAAAACCTGGACACAAGTCTTCATTCCATGGACAAAATAAAGCACCTTTTTCCTCAACAAGAAGTTCATTTCAATCAAGAAAACAACAAAGTGCATGAACCATTTAGTAACTAGCATGCCACAAAAGGTCACCATCGCAAGCATACACCACCTCCAAAGCCCTAAACTCCAAATCTTTGTCCTTCTAACTTCCTCAACTGCTAAGCTAACCAATAAGCAACCTGCAATGCTCACAAACACGACCAACCCGATTGAAACCTTAGTCGTTAGTATCTTACGATTGCCTTTACTAAATTCAACTTTCTTGTAAATAATTTCATCAGGATCCTCATCATCAGAAGAGTATGGAGATGTCATCATAGGTGTTCTAGGCGTGACAACAGAAGTAAACGAAGCAGTTCGATTAACCATTCCGGCCTCGCTATTAGGCGAATATGAACCTTTATTGAATGAGTTCCTATAAGGAGAACTAGCAGCTAATTCTTCTTGCAAATTTGATGAAACAAAATTCTCTTCAAAAAGGTTTCCATCAATAGGGTAAGGTTGTTCACCAAATCTTGATTTGGGCTTGGAATACACTGATCTTACAAAAGACTTTCTTGTGGTAAGGTTTGTAGTGGGAGCTTTTGGGGGTTTATTTGGGCCTGGAGTGAACCTTATCTCAGGGGAAACATAGTTTAAAGGTGGTGGTGATTTTGAAGGAAGATCATTTTCACAGTGAGGCATAGATTCAGACACTTTCAACCCATGATCATGATCTTGGGCATGGCTCTCTCCACCCATGTTTGAAATTGTCACCACCACTTCTCTTTTCTTCTCCATCATACTTACTTCACCACCTTGATGCTTATTATTACCATCCATTCACAACCCTAAACATATTACAAAAACATAAACATATGAAAGTTGATAAACTATCTAACATGGTCATCAAAATCAAATCTTTGAAAGCAAGTAATGTTGAACAATAACTAGAAATGAAATAATTAAAACACAATGGAGCAAGTTAAAAATATAGTATTAGAGCATAGAGGATGAAGGAAAATAGACCAAGAAACTAGTTGTCTCTAACAAAAAAAGTTAGCCGTGGTTAAGATTTAAGGAATTTAAGGGTAGCTTGACTTACATATACAACAGTGGTTATTACGGCGGTTTTTGCTAATGCTCTTAGAGGAGAAAAGCAGAACATGAAATGTTAATGACAATGGATTTGCTTCTCTGAGGTACGCTATTTATATCGATTGTAAGTTGTTTAAACAAGGATTTCAGGCTATTTTTTGCTTTTACAAATTGATATACTGTATACTTTAATTATGAGTTCATATTCTCATATATTACTCTAATACTTACGTCTAATACTATTCACACTATATATATATATATATATATATATATATATATATATATATATATATATATATATATATATATATATATATATATATATATATATATATATATATATATATATATATATATATATATATAGTGAATAGTGTTTTTTAATAAAAGATATATTAATGAATAGTAATATATTATTATTATAATAATTTTTTTATAAAAATTTTATATTTTTTTAGTAATAAAATTTTATATTTTTTAGTTATTTGTTAACCAACTTCATCATTTTATTAATTAATTTTTTATATTTTATTAACCAATTTTATTTTACTACTAAAAAATATTATTTACGGTATAAATATGATAAATAGTGTTTGGTGTAAATATTGGTGTAGAATTTAGGTGTAAGAATAATATGACTATTTAATTATACTCCTTTCCATCATTATAAACCGTCACATCTTAAAGAGTTCAGAGAAGAGAGGAAAGAAATATCTTTGAAAAAGAATTTTTTAAAAAATGTAAAAAAGTTTCAGTATTTTTTAAAAGAATGATTTTGTATAGAATGATAAAGGAGTATTAGTCATTACTATATTTTTAATTTTTATGATATTATTATTGGAATAATATAGTAAAACTGAGTAAGTGGAGAAAGTCTCACATTGGATAGGAATGTGGAGACTTGAACATATATATATATATATATATATATATATATATATATATATATATATATATATATATATATATATATATATATATATATATATATATATATATTTATATATATAAAAGTGGGAGAATCCACCCACTTATCACCTTAAGATTTTAGGTGGATATGTGGTGTGTCTCTCACAAAAGTGTTTATTCCTACACTATATATCGATGCTCCTAGTATCTCCCCCAACAAATGGTATCAGAGCCAGATTCGAGAGAGTAGGTGGAGAAATAGTCTCACATTGGATAAGAATATAGAGACTTGAACATATATATAAGTGGGAGAACCCAATCACCTATCACCTTAAGGTTTTAGATGGATATGTGATGTGTCTCTCACAAATGTGCTTATTCCTACACTATATATCGATGCTCCTAGTATCTCCCCCCAACAATTATAACAACAAAAAACATATTTAAAAATTTTATGTAAGATATTTAAAACCTTTCAAAATCATTCTTCAATACAAATTTTGAGTTCTTCAAATTAGAAAGTTTTGAATGTTATGAATAAACGTAAACCCTCAAAAACTCTCCCAACTAAAATCATTCAATTCTTTCCACTTAATCCACCCCTCTCTTCCACTCTAAACTCTCAAACAAACACTTTAAGATATGCACCAATATTGTTTGTACCGACGTGTGTCCTCTCATCGTACATGAAGGTCTGAGAATATTCAAAAGACAGTAGAGGTCAGTTTAAGCCGACCATGAGTGAGTTCAAGAAACCAATCTGACTTTGTTGAATCAACTACAACTCGTATCGTACACCAGCACCAAACAGACATGACATTAATGACAATAAAGGCATATTTGGCTTCTTAAACGGCCTTGGACAAGTATTTCATCCTTGTGGTTCATGTTCCTACGCGACTCTTTCTTGTGGACTGTATAAACGCTCGAGCTAGTTGATCTCGAAAACACATTTCCAATCTCTAAAAAGCACCTTGTTCCTACGCGGCTCATTTCTGAGGGATTGTGTAAATGCCTGAGATCTTAGTTGATCTCATGAAAACATTTCTCCCATAATCGGCTCATGCTTGAGAGACTGTAAATATTTGAGTTCTTAGCTGGAATCAGGAAGTATTTTTGGTCGCAGGAAACATCTTGGTCCTACGTGTCTCTTGCTTGAGAGATTGTGTAAATTTATGAGCTCTTAACTAGCAATGAAGCACAGACATCCTGAACACGCTCTCAACACTGACACAACGACACTGATAATAATTTTAAAAATTAATAAATTAAATATAAACACAAATGTCAATACAAGTAATTGACATGGACACATACACGTTTTTTTTCCAGAGATGTCGATTTCACATTATTAGTTTATCTCAAGGATCCACTCAAGATAAATGAGATTTTGGTTGGATCCCTATCCTATTCAAAGGAGGTCACTTAATAAAGAAGTTTAAATACATATGATGATATAATTTATGATTAATTGACAAAATTATGATAGAAAACCCAAAGAAAAAGTCTGATTTTAATCACCATTAAATAGTCACATTTAATTCGAGACAAACAATTTATTTTAAATGGACAGAATATATGCGCCAGTACTACTACATAAAGAAATGATCAACCAAAAATTAAAGACAGACAAATTGATTGAGAACACGAATGAAACGACATTTTTTATAACAATGAGACCGACCTTTCAAATACTAACCTTTGCATGTAAAATTGCATTGATATATAATGATTATATCATTTTTGGTTTTCAAAATAATTTTGATTATCATTTTTAATTATAGTATGTTATTATGTGTATCATTATTAAGTTAGCATCTTTAGTTTTACATTTATGATGATAGTTACTCCTTCCCTCCTATAAAAAATCTCATTTGTAATATTTTTATCTTAAATAAAATATTAATTAACTTCTTTTCATATATAACCACTAAAAAGAAACGTAATAATTATTGAGATTCTTTTAGCGGGCCAAATCTAAATCAATAGACAAGAAGTGAGAGGTAGCCGTTAGAAGAAACTTCGATTTTGCTTCACAAGGAAAAAAATCACAAGCAAGCAAAGTAGGGTCTGAAAACAGAAAAGGATTACAAATTCATTGATTAAATTTCTCCTAAGCCGACTTAAATTTTTAGTATTAAAAGAAAGAATGATGGTTAAGATAATGCAATGAATTTAGACTTAGATTTTAGTATTAAAATAATGGTTGAAATACTTTAATGAAGAACCATAAACATAGTAAAGTAGGGTTACTTTCGTTCCAAATTATGCCACCTTTGTCTATTTCACACAAATTAGAAATTTGAAAATAATACAAAGAGATGTTTTTATATATATGCAAAAGTAGTTGATGGGAGAGCTAACAAAAACCAAAAAAAAAGAAAAGAAAATAATAAATAGAATTATTTTGTATCTAATACTCTCCCATAACTTGGGCTATGCAGTGACATAAAATCAAGTTTTAGGATGAAAGCAGAAAAAGACGGAGTAGATTGCGGCTTGGTAAAGAAATATGTAAGTTGGACAGATGAGAGTATTGAGAACAACTTAATGAGATCTAATTTTAATTTTTCACAAATGATATGACAATCAATATTAATATGTTTGGATCTTTCATGAAATGTTCAATTGCGGGCAAGGTGCACACCAGACCTATTGTCACAGTAGATGGAGGTTGGAATTGTGAAGGAAATGTGCAAGTCTTTGAATAGATAATGTAGCCATTGAACTTCACAGGTTAAAGTAGCAAGAGCTCGATATTCAGCTTCAGAACTTGATCGAAGTCCGTCGTCTGCTTCTTTGATTTCCACGGAATGAGAGATTTACCCAAAAAAATAGAAAATCTAGTTGTTGATCTTCATGTGGTTGGACAAATTGTCCAATCGCTGTCTGCAAAACCAGAAAGAACAAACTAAAAATTGGATGGATAAAATAGTCCTTGAGCAGGACTTCTTTTTAAATATTAAAGTATCTGAATGGCAGCCTTAAAATGGTTGTCAGTAGTTTGAGAAACAAACTGACTAAGCTGCTGAGCAATAAATGATATATCAGGCCGAGTAGTAGTTATATAAATTAGTTGACCAATGAGTCGTCTATATTGAGTTTGATCGTGGTATATAGGAGAAGTAGAGCAATGGAGTTTGAGTGTAGAATTATATGAAGTATAAGAGAGTTTTGATGCTAACATACATGTTTTACGAAGTAAATCAAGGGTGTAGCTACGTTGATTGAGTAAAATACCTGATGTTGAACGAGCGACTTCAAGTCCAAGAAAATACCTTAAAGGACCTAAGTCTTTGATTTGAAATTTAGAATGAAGAAGGCGTTTAACATGTTGGATTTCTTGAAAATCATTACCTATGAGAACAATATCATCTGCATATACTAATAATGAAGTAAAGTTAGTGGGATTGGACTTTGTAAAAAGAGAATAATCAGCATGTGAGTGATTGTAACCAAGAGAAAGTAAAGTGTCAGATAGTTTGGAGTGTCATTGCTGACTAGCTTGTTTGAGGCCATAAATACTCTTATTGAGTTTACAAACCTTATGAGAGTGATTGAGAGGTTTATAGCCTTAAGGTAGAGTCATATAAACCTCTTCATGTAAGTCTCCATGTAGAAAGGCGTCATTGACATCTAACTGTTTGAGATGCCAATATTTAATAGAAGCCAAAGAGAGGAGCGTTCTTACAATGGTTAATTTGTCTACACGGGAGAAAGTGTCAAAGTAATCAACACCCATCATTTGATTGTAGCCCTTTGCAACTAATCTAGTTTTTACCTATCAGTAACACCATTAATAAGGTATTTAATCTTGTAAACCCATTTATAAC